TATCCACAGGAAAGACAAGAAGTGGGCTGAAGACTAAGCTCTGGTGTGCTTCAACATTGAGAATTTAGGCCCTGGCCTATCTTCAGCAAGAATGCTGCTAGGTCAGTTTAGCCAGAATCCTCTTATCCCTCATACTTCCTATTATCTTGGCTGACCATTGGATTCACCTAGGAGCTGATGATTCTTTGCTTAGCCAAACTTAAGTCAGGCTTTTGTTGTTATTTTTGTTTTTCAGACAAGGCCTTACTATGTATTTCAGGTCTGCCTTGAACTCACTAAGTATGTAGCCCAGGGTGGCCTTGAACTAGCAGTGATCCTCCTACCTCACTCAGCCTGCTGAGTTCTGGGAATGCACCGGGTTTAGTCAGGCTTTTGAACCTTCCCCCAGGATCCATCTGTGTACTTCCTTGTAAAATTGTTTCAGCAAAAGAACCCTGCTGATTTAGTTTATCAAGAACTCCTCACTATCAGTATCTGATCAAGCCTCTTGCCCTCCATCACTCCTTCAGGTTGTGTATGACCACTCTGGCCTGTCTTCAGTAAGAATGCTGCTAGGTTGATTTAGCTATAATCCTTTAATTCCTGATACATCCTCGTACTAAATTTTCCAACCACTGAACTTTATTCTGCTTCTTGGATATGGCCCTATTGCAGTGTCTCTATATCTACCCTATATGAAGTCTATGTGTAACAAGAATTGTTGAACACTTTTTTTAAAAAGTGGTGACATCTGCCTCCCATCAGATTCTGCTTTAATTGGTCTAGTGTTTGTGCTGGGTTTCATAATTTTTTTAAACCCTCCAGGTGATTCTGATAGGACATTAGGGTGTGGCAAAGCTGGCTGGGGTAGTAGGCATGACCTGTTAATTACAAAACCCTGGAAAACATGTGCAGAACAGTTCCCAAACCCCTGCACATAGACTACTGAGAACCTGAGCAGGTTTTCAATAGAATGGCCTAGACCTGACTTCAGCCTGAGGTATGGGATCCCAGCACTGCCTCCTGAAGACCCATACGTATAAGTTCTCATGGGTTTCCTTGAGATTTGGGCAGTATAAAAGGACAAAGTCACCAAGAAGGGCTTGCTATCATGGCTTTCCTCATGATAGTCTGCCCTGCTTTCTCCAGGGTGTTCTTTATCTTGCTTTTTCCTCTTTTCCTCGGCCCACGCTTGCTCTGCAGAGCCAGTATCTCTCTCAATCTTCACTTTTACTTTTTCAAATATATTTGGCTACTGCTCTTTGCTCATTATTTCTTTGTTCGAGATGCAAAGAACCTGGAATCCAACTCCAGAAGGAGAGACGAACAACCCAGAACCTGGTAATATTTATTTGTTGAGCCACTTTTAGAAGGGGCTTCTGATAACACTGAGATTCTGCCTTACTCCAGCAAGAATGGCTGTCAAGAAATCAAATAGTGGGCTGAGGATTTAGCTCAGTGGTTCCACCGCTTGCCTCACAAGCACAAGGTCCCGAGTTTGATCTCCAGTACCAAAAAAAAAAAAAAAAAAAAAATTCAAATAGTAACAAATGCAGGAGAGGGTGCAGGTGTGATAGCCAACCCGACTCCCATGTTGTGCTTCAATGTCATTTTGTACCTGTGCTTGAACAAAGCACCCAAAACCCCAACATCCTGCTTGGCAGTAAACTTGCTGCAGTTGGAAGATGTTTTGTAGCTCACCTAGTGTGTGTGAAACTTCCTTGTACCCTCCACTAACCTAGCATGGTTCTGCTTCTATAAGATTCTGCTTGCTCTCCCCTGAGCCCTCCCCAACTGAAAGCATGATTTAAAAGGTGAAATCAAACTGTTTCCCATTGCCAAGGAAACATTCTGGGCTACCCTCTCCTTGGCTGCCGGCTATAATAAATGGGCTCAAATCTGACACAGAGTGTGGTGCATCTCTATTGTTCAAACTTGCTCGGCCATAACATGAGGGAGGGCACTTTTAGATTTTTGGTGAGAATATAAACTAGTACAACCATTATGGAAATCAGAATGGGGAATTCCTCAAAAATCTAAAAATAGAAATTCCATTTTACTCATTGACTCCCCCTTCTAGTTATCTTTTGGCAAGTTAGAGACATCATATTACAGTGATCGATGCATACCCATGTTTATAGCTGCACAACTCATAATAGCTAAATCTTGGAAGCAGCCTGTATGTCCATCAACAAGAGAATGGATAAAAAATGTGGCATGTTTACATAATAGAGTACTACTCTGCCACAGAGGACAAACTTGAGTCATTTGTAGGAAAATGGATACACTTTGAGACCATAATGTTATGTGAAACAGATGAGACACATAAGCTTAAATATCACATGGTTTCTCTTATGTGAGAAATCCAAAATATAAAGAACAAAATAAAAGATGGTAGGAAATAAGGCCACAGGTCTGTCACAAAAGAAAATGAGATAAAGCTGGGCATGGTGGTAATGCCTATAATCCCAGCACTCAGGAGGCTATGGCAAAATGATTACCTTGAGCTGGGCTATATGGTGAGTTCAGGGCCATCCTGAATCACAAAGCGAGACTCTGTCTCCAAAAAACCAAAAACCACCACCATCGCCACCAACAAAAACAAAGGATGGGATCAAGTGATGGAGGGAGGGAGAGGGAGAGGAAGGAAAGGGGATGGAAAAAAGGAATTGTGTTATGTACATGTACCAACTCCCCACAAGAAATGTAATTATGTACCAATAAAAAAAAATAAAATTCAGGGCTGGGGATTTAGCTCAGTGGTTCCGCCGCCTGCCTTGCAAGCCCAAGGTCCTGGGTTCGAACCCTGGTACCAAAAAAACCAAAAAACAACCACAAAAAAAGTAAAATTCTAAAGCACAAAACAGTCTATCATGTTTAGTCAACTATTTTCTAATCTTTTAGTTATGATATCTAATGACATTTATCTTTGTACATAGAAGATAAATGCCTGGGTCAAGGGGCCATCTTTTTTTTTTTTTTTAACATTCTTTTTGTAGTGTGGGCAGATGTTTCTATTGGCTAGATGTTACACACACACACACCTACCTAAAATATTTTTTCAATTTATAATTCTTAGATTACTAATAAGCCTAAATCCTTACGTTTTTTAGCTGTTCATGTTTATTCAAATATTGTTCTTGTCTTATTTCTCCCATCCCTACCTCCCATCTCGTCTCTTACAGCTTATATCTAGATACCTTTCCAAAACTTCATGTGTTCATAGGTGAGGCTTTTCAGATGGCTGAATCTAGGGTGTGTGATACTGGGATTAAGAGTGTGTGATAATTAAATGGGTTTAGCATAGTTCTGGGTGTGGATAATGGAAGCCTCACCCTGAATGTGAGTGGTACCAATTGATAGGTTCATATCCTGGATGGAATATGTATAAAGAGAGGGAAAGCAAGCTTCCTGCTGCTGCCTGATGCTACTTGCTGCCTCCTGCCTGCCATGCCAAGAACTGTTTTTGTTCTGCAATGTCCTTCTGCCATGTCACACACTGCCTTGAAGCCAGCTGATTATGGACTGAAACCTCTACAGACTGTGAACTGAAATACACCTCTCCTCCTTTAAATTTAGGTCTCAGGTATTTTGTCTCAGCAACAAGAAAAGTAAAAAGACATCATCTTTCTAGTCTAGTGGCTAGGTACCATTTCCCCAGAGCCTTCTCAGAAAGCTAACCTGCAACTTTTCTTGAATACAAGTCCTTGTCAGTTTGTATCTACATATACATTTATTAAATTTTTTGAATTCCTGTACTGCTTCCCTACCTGGCCCCTCAGGACACTCAATGGGCCATTTCTTAAGAGGATAATTTTTATTTGTAGTTGCTTTTGGAATTGGATCTGTTTTTGTTGATTTTTTAGGCAGGGTCTATGTAGTCCAGGCTGGCCTCAAACTCAGTGATCCTCTTGCCCCAGCTTCCTAAGTGCTGGGATTACAGGCACATGACGCCATGCCTAGCGCTGAATCTTTGTTTTTGCACATTTTCTAAAGCTAGCTCTTGCTGATATACCGGGAAACTGTTTACTTTTTTCCACTTAACTGGAAATGTGCTCCTGAGCACTTACTCTTCTCATAGCTTTCCAAGGGCTCTGGTGTTTGAAGGTAACTTATCACCATGCAGGTCTCTGGGCTCCAGGGAGAAGGGTCCCCTGTAATGCTCCTGGGCATAGCAGATGCCAAACAGCTATCACCTAGAAGCAGGCTCCTCCCTGGCACAAAACATTGGGTCATGGTAGCATCACCCATCCAGATGTGAAACACTTGTTTTGGGGACCACACTGATGGCAGAGGACATAGCTTCCTCCCCAGCAATCCTCACCCCCAGCCCTGCCTGGCAGCTGCTTTGCCAAAATCTGCACATGCAGGTGAGTCCTGCATAAGTGACACCCTAGCGGGGTCCTGGAGCTCCTGCTCCACAGCATGGGGCAGACTTCCAAAGAACAAGAGAACAGTGCTGTGAGCTGCCAGTTTTGGGCCTGGTCTTAAAGGGCATTGCTCACTTGCTCACTGAAAATATAGTCATTACAGGATAGTGTTTGTCTTCTTCACCTGTTTCTCCTGTGTTGTGGTTTTTGCTGTTTTAAATTATAGAGTTGAACTGAATCATAAAATGTCCTTACTTCAGAGTACTTTGTATGATAACATAGAATTTGTTAAAGAAAAAAAAACAAAACACCCAATAGATAGGAAGAAGTAAAACTGTTATAGATGGTGTACTTTGTTTTTGTGTTTTTGTTTTTTGAGACAGGGTGTCATGTTGTTATGTACTTCAGACTGACCTTGAACTCACTAGGTAGCCCAGGCTGGCCTAGAGCTTTCAGTGGTCCTCCTGTCTCAGCCTCACAGTGCTGGGATTACAGGCATGTGCCACCACATCCAGCTTAGATGGCATACTTTTACCACAAACAGAATTGACAGTTTAATGAAAATTAAGAATATCCACCGAGATGAGTAGTTACACAAATATATTTTTAAAAACTTTTGTATGTAAGAACAATAGCAAGTAGAAAAATATAATGGGAAAAACTATTTACAAATAACAAAATTGCACAGAATTTAAATGAAAAAATAGAAAAATTTACTCAGAAATATAATACTTTAATAATATAGAAAAGCATGTTTGGGGATGGAAAACAAAATCTATAAACATGAATAAATTTTCTCAAACAGTTTATAGGATGAACCCCTTCAAACCAAAATACCAATGTAAGACTTCAGGAAACAAAATCAAGCAAACTGACCAAGAATCCCTAACTGCACCACAGGAGGGGTCCTGTGAAGGCACCTCTGGCTCTGCCACTAGGCAGAGTACAGGAGGGTCTGGGTATCAGGAGGCCAAAGACACTTACCACCCATTACAATGGAGACACCTGAATACTGTCTCTTGTGGGGCAATGTGAGCTAACCAGTAGAGACATAATTTTTAAAAACTGCTTTGTGAGGTAGTAACCTCTCCATTTCCAAAAGTCTGATGAGACCATAAAGGGAATTAAGCATAAGTATGGTTATTTTTTTTTTTGGTACCAGGGATCGAACTCAGGTCCTTGCGCTTGCACAGCAAGCAGCGAAACCACTGAGCTAAATCCCCAGCCCCATAAGTATGGTTATTGATTTGTCATGGATCCAAGCCTAAGTCTTCCTATATTTAGGTCTGTCATTCCTATTCGGGCTCCTGAGGCTTCCGTCCTAGCAGGTGAAGCTTTGGCTTAGCAGAGGGACAAGATCCTCAAGAGCTATCCACCAATGGGACTGGATGGCCAGACCTAAGTGATCCAAAATTCTTTTGGCAATGGAGAGGCACAAGACAGCTGTTTGAGAGAGTAACAGCTGAACAAAATACAGAAAGAATAGTAGACACATTTATGGCGTGGAAAGGATTTCTGTAAAAGAGCCAACTTTCACCATAAATTACAAATCTTATTCAAATTGATAGTTGCTTTATTTTATTTTATTTTGGTACTGGGGATCGAACTCAGGTCCTTGCGCTTGTGCAGCAGGCAGCAAAACCACTGAGCTAAATCCCCAGCCCATAGTTACTTTAGATTACATACAAAGTCTCTGACATCAGAAGCTATTGATTTCCTACATTCCAAAGTAAACAATTCGGGCCAGGGATTTAGCTCAGCGGCTTCGGTGCCTGCCTTGCAAGCGCAAGGTCCCGAGTTCGATCCCCGTTACCAAAAAAAACAAAGTAAACAATTCAACACTAGAGCCTTATCAGTGTTCAGAGAGTTATGGGAATGGCTATTAGAAGCTGCTGGCTTCAAAAAAAAAAAGAAAAAGAAAGAAACCCTTTGCCGGGGGTTTAGCTCTGGTCCACCACCTGCCTCGAAACTGCAAGGTCCCAAGTTCGATCACTGGTACTAAAAAAAAAAAGCTGCTGGCTTAACAAATCAGTAGTCTGGTTGAGAAGACTATAGTCCTACATAAGGACCTTGGCATTTTTTCTCCTTTCTCAAGGAAAGAATTCCCGTGTGTGTGTAGGTGTGCGTAGGGGTGTACCTATTTCAACAGAAATGCAGGTAAGCAGCCTCAAGGCTAATTCACATTCAAAGTCTTCTTGGGAATGGATTTGTGACCTATATACTGTTACACAACTTCACAAAGAAAGTTCCTAAGTCCAAAAAGCCTGGATGACAACTGAGGTATAGCCCCTGAGGATGTTTTATTCCCTGGGATTTTCCAAGAATTTGAGGTTTCAGCCAATATGGGTATTCATCCCAATTTTGACTCTCATGAGGTTTTCACGTATCTCTATCTCTTTAGGCAGCCTAGGAATTCAAAATTCCTTACAGAACTTTTTGGGCTGCAGTAGGACCTACCCTGGTCTCACTTGTGCTTTTGGGTCTTACATGCCAAGTGGGTTCTCTCATGCCGGGTGCAGCTGGACAGTTGACCAAATCTTCTCCCAGTTTCTGCAACTATATGGTCTCTTGGCTTCATGACTCTGCAGATGAAGCACAAACTCTTCATTCTTTGGGAAGGTTTTCCCACATTCTGGACACTTAAATATCTTATCCTTTACATGGATTCCTTCATGACGACTCCGATGAGAATTCTGACGAAAGTTTTTCCCACACTGAGAACAGGCGTAAGGCTTCTCTCCTGTATGGATTCGCTCATGTTTATTCAGATTTGTTTTATGACTGAAGCTTTTCCCACAGTGGCTACAGTCGTAGGGTTTTTCAGTGTGAGTCCTCTGGTGGGAAATAAGGTAAGAACTTTCATTAAACTGTTTCCCACAAAGTGGACAAGTGTACCACCTCCTTGTTCTCTGATTTCGAGTAAGTGCAATAACATTGATGTCCACATATTTTGAGAGCTCATCTAGTGGAGTATCATTTTCAATGGTAACTAAAAGACTTTTCAATTTCCTTTGCTGTGGAACAGAGATATTTACTCTTTCTTCTTGGCAACCTGGAGGTTGCTCAGAAACCAAGAGACAGTCCATCCCATCACCACCTGAAGACTTTTCTTTATAATCTTCCTTCTGAAGATCTTCACCCACAGGACTACTGTCATTGACTACTGAAAGAGAGAGAGAATGTAGTAACTCTTCAGGGATATGACAATACCAGGTGGGAAAAAAACAAATTAAATTTCTCACGAAATAATACCCTTGAAAGTTAGAAATCTGAGGACTGGCAGAAAACCACCATCAACTCTCTTCTTCCACACTTATTTTATTGAGGGTGGAATGGATAAGTGATACAGCTTCCCTTCCTCCTATAGTGTGAACACAGTCCTATCTGTACTTTTTGGGGAAAATAAAATGAATGAGATTGCACTGAAAGATTTCACGTCTGTTTCTCAATAGGCAACAGTTACTCAAGTCAAGTATGAACTGATCTTACATCCTGTGTAAACACTCAGTTAAAGACAGAGAAATGAAGGTCATACATAAAAAAGGGCACCACTCATAATATTCAGGACTCCAGGTCTCTGCTACATTAAATTTCACAATATTATAGCACTGAATATTAGCACAATATCCTGTATACAAGGAAAAACTGGAAATAATTAAAATGACCAAAATTAATGAAGGCACAACATGTTCACACAAGGGATTAGTATTTGGCTATTGAAGTGATTACTATGACTGATAAAATGAAACTATGGTATTAGAAATCAACAGTATTTGGGAAAGGAAAGGGAGTAGTGACTGGAAAGGGGCATAAGAAGGATTTCTGGGGTGTTTGGGTGATAAATGAATATGTACATTTTGCAAAAATCTGAGTTGTATACTTAAGATATGCAGGCTTTTCTATTTATATTAAACTTCAAAATAAAGTCTAATGGATTATCAACACTAGGTAACCAAAAAAACCAAACAAACTCTGCTCTGAACATGTAGGCTGACAAGGCACCCCTACCTAACTTTGGAGAACTGGTGGAGAATAAAAGGTTTAACTCAACCACTTACATATGGCTGATCCAGAAGGTAGAATGTGAATCTTTTCAAGATTCATCAGTTTTATACCAACAGATTTCCTTCTTTTTAATTGCTCCCTTATGATAATGAAAATGCTGGGTTAAAGCCCAGGGTGATTTGTATCACAGCTCTTGATATGAACCACTATACCACTTTTCATAGGTGTAACAATTTCAATATAACCAATATAATTGTAAATATCAATTTAACTCATCACTGGCAACTGATTGGCAACTCATGGCCATTATAAAATTTAAAAATATTTCATAGGTATAAAATTATGTCTCATTGTTGTTTAACTTTTCATTATGTAAAACAGTACTTTATCTTATTAATTTTACAAATTTAACAACTTTATATGTTAAAGATGTTAAACTGTCAATCATTGATGTAAACATATATTTATTTCTTTTTAATTAATTAATTTGTTTTGAGACAGGTTCTCACCATGTACCTCAGCCTGGCCTCGAACTCACGGCAATCCTCCTGTGTCAGCCTCCTGAGTACTGGGTTTACAGGCATGCAATGCCACATCTGGCTTTTTTTATTTTTTTGAGACAGGGTCTCACTGTAGTTTAGGCTGATCTTGAACTGATTACGTAGCCCAAGCTGGCCTTGAACTTGTGGTGATCCCCTTGTCTCAGCCTCTTGAGGGCTGAGATTATAGGTGTGTGCTACCATGTCCACTTCGTTAAGGCAAATATTTAAAAAACTGAATTTGACATTAAAATCAAAAGAAAAACATATACCAGTCTTTCAAGATTTAACAATGCTCTGTTCTGTTTTCTGGCCATTCATATAAGACAATTTTCTTCTACATTATGATCCAGATATCCCAGCCCTACTTACAACAGTCTCATTTTCATCTTGTTTTGAAATGTTGTTTACATTACCCTTATGCACACCTGTACTATATTTTGGCTATTTTTCATTAGTAGCACATTATTTAGGCTGGGATTATACCACCAATGGCTTTTTATCATTTTGTAGTATGTTTAATATTGGTAAAATCAGTCAGAAAATTTGACAGATAGATAGTTATTCTTTGAGACAGGGTCTCACTATGTAGTTCAGGATGGCTGGCCTTGAACTCAAAATCCTTCTAACTCAGTCTCTTGAGTGCTGAGATTACAGGTGTGTACCACCATGCCTGGCTAAAAAATTTTTCTGACTCTATATTCACAGTAAATAAATTTGGAAGTCACATATAGCTTTACATGAGTTTAATTTTTCCATTTTAAATTGTACCTCTTGCTGGGTGTGGTGGTGCACATCTATAAATCCCAGCTCTTGGGAGGTTGAAGCAGGAGGATTGCTTCGAGGTAAGCCTGAGGTACATAGTGAGTTCAAGGCATAGTAAGACCCTGTCTCAAAAAGAAAAAAAAGTATCTTTTTTTTTTTGGTTATCAGGGATCAAACATGGGACCTTGCACTTGCTAGGCAGGTGGTGGAACCACTGAGCTAAATCCCCAGCCCAAAAATGTACCTCTTTAAGAATCTTCTTTTACATTTATTAAGACAGATTTAATTTAAATCAGTAAGACAACTTTAATTTACTCCACTCATAGCCATTCTGAATGAGGTTCTCATTTTATATTTAATAATTGTTATGTAGGGCCGGGGATTTAGCTCAGTGGTTCTGCCACCTGCCTCATAATCGCAAGGTCCCGAGTTCAATCCCCAGTACCAAAAAAAAATTGTTATGCATGTATTCCTCATATGCCTTCTTTAAACTTATTACATGTTCTAATGGATTATCTTAGATTTTCCAAGTATAAATCATATTTTGGAGATGGGAATGGTGCTGCATTACTATAATCCCAGCTACTTGGAAGGCTGAGGCAGGAGAATCTCAAGTTTGAGGCCAACCTGGACAATTCAGCAAGACTGTCACAAAATAAAATTTCAAAAAGGGCTGGGGATGTAACTCAGTGAGACCCTGGGTTCAATCCCCAGGCCGGGGTGGGGGGTGGACTTAAAAAGCATTATTTGTTTTCTTCCTTACCAGTATTTATTACCTCTTAATCACATGTTTTTTTTTTTTGGTTTTGGTTTTTTGAACTTGCAACTATCTATCACATGTAATAGGATTACCCAGCAATCACACTTTTTCTTATCTTATTGGTACAGAAAATCTATTTTATAATAGTAATAGTGATAGCAGATTTCCTTGTTTTCAGATTTAAGGAATTACCAGTGTTTTATGAATGACTATAAATGTTAGGTTAGATTATGTTTAAGGGGATAAATACCTGTTTTGAGAGAAATCTACAAAACATATTCCTTATTTTCCTGAAAATGCTAATATACTTTATATTCCTTTAATGTAATTTTAAAACTTTTTAAATAATTGATACAAATATATGGCTCAAAATTCAAACATGAAACGATATACTTTGAGATGCCTTACTCCAATCCGTTTCTATCTAGTCTATGAATTCTCTTTTTATTAGTTTTTGATTCTTTAGGCAATTCTTTTTCTTCTCTTTTCTTATATAACCTGTAATATTATGTATATTCCGGCTACTTGGTTTTTTTTCCAATCACCAAGTCGTAGGGTGTATTCAACCAGTTCCTTTCAGACATGTGGATTTTTTGTAACATTGTTTTTTTCAAAAATAATGTCACAACAAATAAACATGTTTACACATCACTTTGAAAGTGTGCTGCTGCTCTTTCTATAGGTCAGGGTCCCAGAAACAGGACTGTTAGACCCAAGGACAATGCATCTATATGAGAGAAGTTGCAAAATCATACAAGGACTGTACCACACTGCATGCCTACCCCAGTTGCCTACTGCCCAACAACCTCACCACCACAGTGTTAAGTTTTGGATGTCTATAAATCTGAGATTTTCCCAATTTACTATATCTTGTTGGTGCATTTCTTTCTTATTTTGCCATGTAAATGTTTTCTTTTTATGTATTTTATTAATCTTTTCTTTCAAAGCTTCTATACTCTAGAATCTTAATTACAAAAGCCTTCCTATCCTATGATTATAAAGGAATTCACCTACTTTTTCTAACTGTGCTTTTATGTTTATGTGTTGGTTTGTTTGAAATATTTAAAATTTTTGATCCATTTGGAATTCTTGGTGTGCAAAGCAAGGTAGTGCTTCTCCCAACACCTTTTACCAACAAGGGCAACTTGACTGTCCAACACCTTTTACCAAAAAGTCCCTCTTCTGGGTGCAGTGGTGCATGTCTGTAATCCTAGCTATCCTGGAGCCTGAGGCAAGAGGATCATAAGTTCAAGACCAGCTGGGAAACATAAGGAGACCTGGTCTCAAAATAAAATGAATGGGGCCAGGGATTTAGCTCAGTGGTTCTGCTGCCTGCCTTGCAAGGGCAAGGTCCCAAGTTTGGTCCCTGATACCAAAAAAAAAAAAAAGATAAAATAAAATGAATGGCCATTGTGTTCTCTTTTGCATGATGGCTCACATTCATGCTGTAGGATGTACTTCTTTTCATACCTTTACTTGGCCCAAACTCACTCTGCAGAGCTGTTTCTTTTCCTACCTTTACTAAAACTTTGCTACCATTAAAAAGAAAAAGGGCTGGCATTTAGCTCAGTGGTAGAGCCCTTGCCTAGCATTCAAGAGGCCTTGGATTAATCCCTAATACCACACACACAAAAGTACCCCTTTACTTTGCTGATGTAAAATGCCAACTTTATGACATTAATTTACCACTTTTTGTGGCCTTTATGGACTTTTTATTCCATCCACTTATCAATCTATGCCAATATCATACTGCCTGAATCATGGAGAGTTTTGGAGGATGCTTTAATATCTGACAGGCTGTTATGGTATGGATCTTAAATGCCCTCCAAGGGCCAAATATCCTCAAGGCTTGGTTGCCAATCTGTAGCACTACTAGAAGGTGGTGGTACCTTTGGAAGGTGGGCCTAGTAGAAAGAAGTTAGGTTATTGAGGATGTCTCTTTAAAGGGGATGTTGGAATCCCAGCCTCTTCCTCTCTGCTTCCTGGTCACAATGAGTTGAGCAGCTCTGTTCCACCATGTGCTCCTTGCCCTGCCATTGGAGAGATGGGAGACCTTATGGGTCTTCTATTCCCTTGCTTCCCCATGGTCTTATG